GTTTTCTTTTTGAAAAATACAACTGATAATACTTTTTCCTCTTGGGTTTTACGTCGAGCGGTTGAGTAAATTTACTTTTCCTTCCTGAGCGTCGCACTTCAGGAGAGACTTGGGGCATGTCGAGATCGAACTAGAGATCTTGATGCGTGAGCCACAGCTTTTCGCGAACCATCTGGTAGTTTATGCAGAATGCAAGCATCAATGCCGTACGAGCTGGCATCACTTGCGACTATGATGTCGAGACGAGGGTCGTAATGGGTGAGGGAGAGGTCTGAAGTAAGAGTTTTCTTGAGCTTCTCGAATGCGTCTTGGCATTCCGTGGTCCATGGTCATGGTTTGTCCTTTTTTAAAAGTTGGTTGAGAGGCCCTCTCAAATTTTGCATGTTCTTAATGAACCCTTGGTAAAAGTTAGCTAGGCCGCGGAAACTTTGTAACGCTTGAACGTTATCTGGGGCCAGCATGTTTCTGATCGCGTTGGCTTGTATTTGATTGGACTTCTTTTTTACGTAGACCGTAGGTGCTGCCCACTCGCTGCAATCTGTTTTTGACAGAAAACCTACTTGTTCGAGTTTATCTTTGTTGATTTGCTCTAGAGCAGCGAAAGGGACATTCCGTTTCTTTTTGAATACCGGTTGTGCACCGTCTTTCACCTTGAACTTAGCTTTCATTTTAGTACATTTCCCAAGGCCGCCAGAAAAAACCTGGGGAAAGTGTTGTTTGAGTTCCTTTTTTAGATTTACCAAATTGGACGTTGTACTTTGTATCTTGCGACAAGTTGTACTCATTGGGCAATCCCAAAGATTGAATTTTTCTATCCAATCAGTTCCAAATAAGTTATCTGAAGTTTTCAATACGTAGGCTTTGAGCTTTTTGGTAACACCATTTAGTGTTACTGTAAGTATTACCTCACCTAAAATGTTGATCTTTTCGCCAGTTACGGATTTTGCTGTTTTATCCGTTTTTAATAAAGTCGGCTTGTCTAATTTTCGCCAAGTACGCCAGTTAATGGTTGAAAGATCGGAACCCGAGTCAAGCTGGAATTTAATGGACTTATTGAAAATATACACAGTTACATATTTCCTTAAATTCCCATCGGCAATATTGTCAGATTGAGCTTGCCTAATTTTATTTTTGGGTTTTCTAGTTCTGTTGGCTTACCAGCACGAAGTTAAAGAATGCCTAATTTTATTGCAATTTTTGCAATACTTTTTGTTCTTAACTGGACAGAATTTCATCCAATGCCATTTACCACAATGGTAACATGGTCCGGGCGGTTTCTTTAACCTATTTGGGATTTGGCTACTGCGTAATTTAGAACATGAGATTTGCCTTTTGTCTTTTTGAGGGGAATAGGGGGTAGATTTGCTTCTGATTTTATTAATCTGAGCCACACCTGATTCCTCGATAGTGTTTGAGTCACACTTTACAGATATTACTCTTTGACAGTCCTCTGTCAGTTTTTGGAGAGTCAATCCTTTTCGTTCTCAAGCTTGGTCATTACCCGTCGTCTGAATTCGGCGTCTTCTGCTGATACTAGACCTTGTGCGAAAATCAAGCACTTAAAATCATCGGCAGTCAGTTCGGCTAGTTTAAAATCATTACAGAGCTTGTTTACCGATGCTGCAAACGTTAGAAAATCTTCCTGGTTGTCTTTGACTGTGTTCAGGCATTTCCAACGTTTGTGGAACAAGGTTGTGTTAGGCCTGAATAGTTCCGATAGGAGCTTAATAGTCTCTGAAAAATCCAAGTCAGTCGTTTTCTTGGGTAATATGAAGTCTACGAACCTACTATGTTCTGTAGTTCCCAATTTTCTCAATAGTAGACGTACCTTTTTTTACTGGACCATTGTTCACAGTCTACGTTGAAAATATCTTCGTAGCGCCTGTAAAAAGCGTCGAACGTTTTGTCGTTCTCTGGTACGTATTCAAAGGTTTCCATTGAATTGTAAATTGTACTCTGGGAGAATATTGTATCTTTTTCTTTAAGTTGTTTCTGTTGTAGTTCAGCATTCTGAAGCGTAATTTGTTGTAATTCCATTTATTGTTTATGTAATTCCAAAAATAGTTGTTTTTGTCTTTCTTCTGATTTTTGTTGCTGATCCAAATTTACTTTTAGCATTTGGGCAATTACTTTTTGAAAATCTTCCATATTTAAAAATGACAGCGCTTTTTTGTTGCTTTGAAACACGTGTACTAAGAGGAGGTACACAAAAAAATCTTGATAGATTTTTGTTCTTTTTTTTTCTTTTACAGAAATAAATATGGACAGACAATAATTAAACTAAACTAATTATGTGTTTAGCTTTTTTTCCCGTGGTTCCGTTAATTTTGACGTAATTGAATAAATTTTCACCACACTTATGTATTTATTTATATTTTTTTTTACAGAGTTATAAAAAGAGAAAACTCACCTCAGTGAATTTGAGGGGAGAATAATTTTATGCACGAGTTCAACTCAGTTACATAAAAAAAAAAAAAATTTTGATAGTTTTTTTCGAAAACTTGAGTACAATGGTAGTACTTCGGCACTGTTTTTTTTTTCTCTGTGTGTGAGTGTGTAAGAAATCGTTCTCGTAATGTTATTTGGACAGACTTTAATATTCCGTAAATGTCGAATCGCTAGTTCGTCAATGCTGTTTGGTATCGGAATATATTTTTTTTATATGTAGACGCTGACTGTTGCGTTTAAATCGCTAATGTAGTAATACCAGCTTAATTTCTCGTTCAACACTACTGTGGGAACGCGTGGAGTTTCTGTGTATTTTTCGAGTACTGTCGCTATTGATATGGTGAGAACGAAATTCTCGAATCTTTCTGTCGCCACTGATGTGGGACTGGCAAGGTATTGCGGTTTTTGACCTGAATGCGTTTCTCGAATTCTTCGTCGCCACTTGATGTGGGACTGGTAAGGTATTGAGGTTTCGGCGTGAGTGCGTTTCTCGAATTCTCGTCGCCACTGATGTGGGGCCAAAGTCGGGACCACGGAAGGAAAACACGGAACACGGATTAGATGTAAGAAAGATATATTAACAACAGGTTACAGAGATAGTGTAAGCGGAGCTTACTATATGTTAGTGTCCAATACTGGTAGTCGTACGCGGCTCTCACTGTCTCTCTCACTCTCTGTCTAGAGTGCTGTGTCGCATACTTAATATAGACCTGGAAGAGTCTATTGTGTAGGTAATTCCGGTCCCACAATAGTTACCAATAGATATTTTCTACTTTTGCTAGTATTTTCACACCAGAAACACGCCAAGAAGCAAAGGGGATCTATTTTTTGGAGCAGTTCATTTATTTACGGGGAAAATATATATTCATTATTGTTATGGTCCAGGTTAGGACCAAGGAAGAACAACACGAACACAAGAGTAGAAATAACGAAGGTATATTACACAAAATAATAATACAAGATGGGGAAGGTGTTAGTATGACTGTCAGTCAGGTTTGGAGTGAACTACTATCGGCTCGACTAGATTCGTCCCTCTCTCTTGTGAGGCGTAGTATATATAGTGTTAGGAAGAGTTCATTCTGTAGTTATAGGTAAGGACCCATGACATTATTGGGTTGGTGCATAATTATCAAGCGTTTTTCTAGGCGAGTAATTTGGCAATAAAAATTACTGTTTTGTTACATTTATTTTAATAAAAATACTATTTTATTTTCAGGTTTTAAGTCAAGGTGGAATAAAAATATTAATTAAAAATTAAGGTGTGCAAAAGTAAGTGAACTCTTAGATTTAATATTTGGTGATACTCCCTTTCGATGTCACGGCGTCGATCAGTCTTTTTCTATAAATTCTAAGTTTCTGCCAATAGTTAGAGATTTTTTTTTACCATTCGTCTTGGCAAAACTCCCACAGTTGCTCGATATTAACTCGATTTCTTGCATGTTCTGCCTTCTTTAACGTGAACCATAGATTTCCAATTGGGTTTAGATCAGGACTTTGACTAAGTCATTCTAAGACATAGCATTTCTTTTTTGGAACCCATTCCTTTGAGGACTTGCTTCAGATCATTGTCCTGCTGAAATATCCAGTCCTGACCTAAACTCAACTTTCGAACCGAAAATCTTTCTTTCAAAATTGCTTGGTATCTTGCAGAGTCCATTGTGCCGTCAATGCGTACTATTTTGCCTGTTCCAGCTGCAGCAAAGCATTCCAAATCATAATGATGCTGCTGCCATGTTTCACTGTTAGCACTAAATTCTTCACTTCAAAAGCCATATTAGGAGCTTGCCAGATATACGACCTATTGTTCTTCCCCCAAAGCTCGGGTTTAGTCTCTCATCCGACCATAATACCTTTAGTCAGATCGTTTCTAGCTTATTAATATGAGTTTTGGCATAGCTAAGCCGTCCTTGATTGTGATTCCGACATTGGCCCGGAAACCTTAGAGAACCGCAGAGATCACAGCAGGATTCTCCTGGGTTTGTCGAACTAGATGTCTACTTTCTCTTGCAGTTAATTTTCATAGGTGTCCACTTCTTGATTACGATGCCGTCATATCAAAGGAATTCTATTTATAAATAATTTGTCGCATGCTGAAGACGTTCACGCCAATCGTTTTGATAGCTTTTTATAGGTTTCTGCATCATTAGAGGCTTCAACTATGCGATTTTTAAAAGCTTCAGGAAGGTCCGTCGATCTTGGTGTATAATATTATTTTTTTTTATATTTAGACTCTAACTGCACCCTTTTGCATACATTGAGTTATATTGATTGACTGCAATATCTGCGCGATTTTGTTTATCCGTGCACAAAATTATTTGCACTGGCAACCATGTAAAACAAACACACAGAGTGTAAATGCAAGTGTTCACCTACTTTTCCACATCTTAATTTTTAATGAATATTTTCATTCCAGCTTGAGGAAGTGTAATTTGTTTAATAAAGGTTCTTCTCAATGAATATAATTTTTATTAAGATTTCTCGAAAAGGGAAACCATATTGGCAAAGAATAAAGATCGAAAAAGATGCAAAAAAATTAATTTCTCGATGTACACGTTCGATCGGCAGAGAAAATGGAGAAGTCAAAGAACTGGAATGCATGAGAGCGGGAAGGCTTCGCGACAACCATGTGAAAGCGAGAATTGATGAATCTGTAAAAGCTTTGCCCAATTCCATCAAGGAATCTGACCTGTTGCCGGCATCCATTGTCAGGTACCTTGAAGAATTTTCAATACCTACCTAAAATACTTCAAATTATGCTTCGTTGATCCAGGGTGGATGTGAGAAACTTTCATATCTAAAAAAAAGAAATGAATAAAAACACTCGATATTTCTTGTCCTTGTGTTCTACAAGGTCAAGAAATATCGAGTGTCTTTTGTCCTGGTACAAAATAAAAAAAAAGTACAGCGGCGAAAATATTTTGACAAAACAGAATAAAGAAGAGAAGTATGGCTCGGTTTGCAATAGCTTCTTTTGAATTTCAAATTCACGCGGCCTTACGTCAAAACACCTTTTATTGTAGAATCACCTATGTTAAGCAAAGTCGTTCCCGGCCAGAATCTAGATGGGTAACCACTTGAGAATACCATGTGCTGTAAACTTGGATACGCGGGTGGTGTAATGGATAATGACTCATAATTGTTAATGGAAGACCCGAGTTCCAGTTCACGTTGGGTTTGCTATATTCACTTACGCTCAAAAGGTATGAATCCATCTCTTCTCTCTCGTCTCTAAAAAAAAGGGTTGATAAACCGTAAAAAGCCAACCAATCAAGTCAAGGTCTATGGTATTATCCTAACGGTTATTGGGTAGGAGGTAACTGTTACATTTATTTGGATGTGCGGGTGGTGTAATGGACAACGGTTCGGAATTGGAAATCAGTGAGCCGAGTTCCAATTCCAGTTGTTTTCGATTAATTCACTTACGCGCAAATACCGTTGGAAAAGTTATGAATCCACATCTTCTCCCCAATCTATGGGTTAACTGGAAGGATGTGTATCGGGAAATCATTATTATCTCCAAAAAAATCTTACAATCAGAAAATATTTTCTAGCTCCAAATAACATGCAAAAGGTTGATAAACCGTAAGAAACAAATGCATCAATCACGCAAATTCGCCCCTGACCTCATTTGACGTTGTGCTAGGTTGTTCGGAAAATAATGTCCGATTTCAGAATAAACATTTTAATTGTCTTCTAATACATTACGTTGTTCGAAAAATAATGTCCTATTTGAGAATAAACATTTTAATTGTGCTCTGATATGTTACGTTTTTCGGAAAATAATGTCCTATTTTATATTAAACATTTTAATAATGTTCTAATATATTAGGTTTTGGGGAAAATAATGTCCAATTTAAGAATAAACATTTTAACTGTGTTCTAGTACATTAGGTTGTTTAGAAAATAATGTCCGATTTTAGAATAGACATTTTAATTGTGTTCTAATATATTACTTTCTTCGGAAAATGATATCCTTTTTGAGAATAAACATTTTAATTGTCTCTCTAATATATTAGGTTCTTCGGAAAATAATGTCCAATTTTAGAATAAACATTTTAACTGTGTTCTAATACATTAGGTTGTTTAGAAAATAACGGCAGATTTTGGAATAGACATTTTAATTGTGTTCTAATATATTACGTTCTTCGGAAAATAATGTCCTTTTTGAGAATAAACATTTTAGTTGTCTCTCTAATATATTAGGTTCTTCGGAAAATAATATCCAATTTAAGAAAAAAGATTTTAATTGGATTCTAATACATTGTCTGTTTGGAAAATGATGTTCGATTTCAGAATAAACATTTTAATAGTGTCTTTGAAATATTAGGTTGTTCGGAAAGTAATGTCACATTTAAAAATATACATTTTAATTGCGTTCTAATATATTATTATAATAGTTGCACAAAAATATATTCCTGATTTCTAATGATTAATGCATTCTCTTGGGGCCACATCTGATCGTGTGGGGCGATTGGTAGATAGCCTGCAGTTAGAAATTCGTCTTCAACTGTGCTGGTCAAACTCGCTGCCTCCGAGCAAAAAGGATCCCCAGACTAGACTATATCGAAGGGCAGAGTATTGTCTCGGGAAACAGCTACCCGACACCGTTTTATACGTGTTCTACTGGGAATTTTTGGCCGAGACTACGGGCTCGGATACTCCACAATAAATTCGGCCTTGTACTACATTTGACGGCGTGAGGCGGTTGGTAGATATCCTTCATTTGGAGACTCGTCCCCAGCTGTGCTGGTCAAACTCTCTGCCTCCGGTCAGAGAGGATCCCCAGACGAGTCTGTGTTTAAAAGGCAGAGTCTCGTTTCGGGAAACAGCTACCCGACCCGAGAAGATGAAGAAATTTTAACAGGGATGAAAAAGAAGAAGAAGAAGAAGAAAATGATTGATGAAGTTATGAAGTTAAGAGCATTAATTAAAAGAAAGATGAAGGAAAAAGGAAAACAAGGAAGATGAAGTTTATTGAATGATGATGATGAAGACCAAGAAGAAGAAGAAGAAGAAGAAGAAGATTGATAAAGTTAAAATCGTTAATGAAAAGGAAAATGAAAGAAGCGGACAAAGGAAAATGAAGGAAACCGAAGAAAATGAAGGAAATTTAATGATAAAGAAGAAAAAAGAAGAAAACGAAAAAGAAAATGAGTGATAAAATTGAAAACAGTGTTGAAAAGGAAAATGAAGGAAGCTGAAAAAGAAAAATGAAGAAAAAAGAAGAAGGTGAAGAAAGAATATGATTAATAAATTTAAAACCATTAATGAAAAGGAAAATGAAGGAAAACGAAGATGAAGGAAATTTACTGAAAAAGATGAAGAATACTTGTTAAAGTTAAAAACAGCATAAAATATTAAATTAAAGGAAATAGACAAAAAAAAATTTACAGAAGAAGAGAGATGTAGGCGGGTGGGGAGGGGATTGCATAAAAGAAGAAAAAAAAACGAATAAAGAAATTTGAAAATAGAAAGAAAGAAAAAGAATTGTAAAAAGAAATTTGAAAGAAGAAAATGGAACAAATATGGATGGGTGTACAGGAAAAAAAGAGAAAAATTAGACAAAGAAAATAGACATGAAAAGTATTCATTTTCAGTAGAGGAAGAAATTAAATAAAAAAAACGAATAAAGAACTTTGATAGATCTTTGAGATGAAAACATTCTAAGAAGTCTTTCGTAATTGTTTTGATGTCCTAAATCAATTTTGTTTTATGAAAGTTACTTGAGGACGAAAACCTTGAAAGGCTCTAAAAACATCAAGGAGCCAATGGCGGTATTTCAGCAAGCAAAAGAATTTGCTAATTTAACAGTGCGCTTTTTCTCGTTGATACTTTTACTTTGAAGGTTTATGTACCGTTGCTGCTCAAACCAGACACCAGGTTCGTTCTCAGAGTGCAGCTTCTTCCAGTCAAACGCTTCTCGCTTAAAAAATAACTTGCTGGTCAGACTGTTACCTACGAAATAAAACTATGAGACGATTATGGTAGAATGCCAATTTTATTCTTGTTGTAACCTTCTGTTTAGACGGGCGAGGCATAGGTGAGGGTAGTAGTGACGGGGTGAGGTCTAGCATACGTGTCTTCGTTTCGCGTAGAACGTGTGTCTCATGACCATTTGACTCTCTCTCTCTCTCTCTCTCTCTCTCTCTCTCTCTCTCTCTCACGCTCTATCTATCTCTCTAGGGGCCGCTTTCTTATAGACTACATAGTCCTTTCTCTTGTCAGCTTTATCTTTAAAAAAGTCATTCATCAAGAACTCGGGGTCTAGCTTCACTCAGTGACCTTATTTGTCCGGTTCGTCTGACCTGGTTCTTCGAAGGTCCACTCCATTAACGCGACCTTCTTTACGAAGACAGATATTTTGTCAAAGCGATTCCTGTGACACGTTGCAGGTAGGCCATTACCGAGATATCATGTATGTGTGTGTAGCTGGCCACTCGTATTCGAGGATACCCGTTTACTAGGGCGGCTAGACAATCCCTACTCATCAGGCGCATTTTGTGTCTATTCAACACACACAGAGCCCACTTGTGGTTTATATTGCAACTATGCTGAGCAGACCTTAGTTACAGTTTCAGGGAAAGAGCGTGTTATCTAGCGTGATCAACAATTTGAACAAGCCCAGCACGCTCAAGCCCTCGGCCACGATGACTTGTGACATTGTGCTAGCACAGCTAACGACAGTTCTCAAGGGTCCCATCAACCCAATTTCACTCATTTCAGGCACTTTCCAAAGATGACCCATGTTGGGATCGACCCCTCCAATGCGATAATATCAGGAAGTCTCCTTCCTGACAAATCGACCATGGTGAGATTCGAACCTGGGTCTAATGGTCAGAATGTGAACGTTCTAACCACCTTGCTACATTTAGCTCTAGTGGTAGTATCAAAAAATAAAGGTTGAGGGGTTTGATGTTTTAATCTCAGATTATCATATAGTTTAGTCTCATGGCGTGAATTTACAATGAATTACCTTTTACGGGATTCGAAAGCTTAGATTTACAGTCACAGTCACTTTCGATACATGACTGACGAGGCAGATTTTTCCCCGCAGTGGGTTGCCATTTCTTTCTACAGTAGACCTGTTGCCATCCAAGGCTATAGAACCAGGTCTGTCCTGCTATTTACCCATAGCTGAGGGGAGAAGGAGAGGATTCATACCTTTCCCAAGTGTATTAGCACGTAAGTGAAAGGTAATGGATTCGACTAGAATTCGAACTTTGCTCTCTGATTCTTCAATCAGTTATATGCCATGCGTGATACACATGTAGGCGATCATCTATCTTTCGATACATGACTGAGGAGGCAGTTTTTTCCCCGAAGCAGGTTACGATTTCTTTCTACGGTAGACCAGTTGCCATCCAAGGCTATAGAACCCAATCTGTCTTGTTGGGAAAAGAAGACGATTCATATATTTCCTGATGGTATTAGCATGGATTCGACTGGAATTCTGTCCTGCTATTTACCCATAGCTGGAGGGAGAAGAAGAGGTTTCATACCTTTTCCAAGGGTATAAGCACGTAAGTGAATGCAATGGATTCGGTTGGAATTCGAACTCGGCTCTCTGATTGCTCAATCAGTTATATGCCATGCGTGATACACGCGCAGGCGATCAAGTATCTTTCGATACATGACTGACGAGGCAGATTTTTTTCCCCGCAGTAGGTTGTCATTTCTTTTTACAGTAGACCAGTTGCCACCCA